CTCGCAGTCCTCTGGCTGCGAGCCTCACTCCCAGTCTTCTGAAACCCTTGTCAGGCTTCAGACATTTGAGGCAGCGTTCCCTCTCCTGGGAAGTGATTGAAAAGATGGGGAAGAGCAGCTTTGCACAGTGGGGCCTCAGGCTCCTCTTCCCTGGAAGGCTTCTGAGCAGTGCAGTGTCCACACTGGTGCTTGGGCAGCTTCCCTTCTCTGCCCCAGAGGACGTGCCCGTCCATCACCTTAAGGCACCAGTCAGAGTGGGAACAGCCAAGCTTGGCTGCCCCCATGGCAGATACGTGTGAAAACCAAGGAATGTGAGTCTGTGTGACCGTGAAGCCTGTTTTTCAGCAGTAGAGCCCTTTTTCCAAGTCTCAGAAGCCTTTTCCACAGATGCGTGAGGAAGCACCCAGCTGCAGGGCCCACCGTGCCTCCCACCAGCCCCACAAGGCCCAGGGACCTCCCAGGAGCCACTTTACCAATCTCAGGGTGCACACACCTGGTGCTCAACTCCATGGGGGTCACAGGCAGCATCAGCCCCCTGGCTCTCTGGCCCCTGAAAGGGGAACCTGGCTCTTTTCTCAGTCGGGGACCCCAGAGCCGGTGTCTCCTGCTGAGCCCTCCAGGCATGGGGGTGTGGGCTCCAGCCCAGCAGGGTAGCCATGCCCGTGCGAGCGAGTGCTGCCACCATCAGCAGCGGGTGCAGGATGCCAGGTCAGGGTGGGTCCAGCAGGTCCCCTTCCCCGTGGAGTCTCACACAGGCAGACCCATCATGCCCCTTCATGGTGAGCTGCACTGGGGCCAGGCACTCCAGAAGCTCTTGCCTTTCTGTTCGCCCGGTTTGGCATAAAAGAAATGAAGGCAGCCCTGGGCTTCCCTCTGCCTCACTAACCCGATTCCCTGTGGACGCCCTCCAGCCCCTGTGTCCAGCCCACTCCCTGCCCCCCAGCTGTGGCCAGGCCCCCTGGGCTCCCTTTCTTTAATATTTAGTTTTCAAATAAATGGAACTTCATGGTAAAATCTTCAAAAAGTTCTGAAGGACACAATGGAAACGCTCCTTTGTGACTGTGTGAGCAACCTCGAGCTTCCCATGCTCCCTGTCAGAGGCACTTGGGGCTGTGGGACAGAAGCAGGCGCCCTCCCCCCTGTGTGTATTCTCTGCCTGGGTTTGGGGGTTTTCTCACATCATGATAGATGTGAGAAACTGATAGAAACATGACAGATGTGATAGACTGCCTACACACGCATATTTTATATCTTGGTGTCCTTTGTCAGCACGTAACGAGCTCCGTGCTGTTCTCGAGGTGGCCCAGTGCTACATTGTGGGAGCACTAGGGTTATTTGAGCCTGCCCTGTTTGGTGATTTTCCCTCTTTTGCTGCTGCGGTGAGTGACCCCTTCGTGGCAAATGGAAACAGTTCTCGAAGTGGGAGTTCTGTTTCAAAGAGAACAACCGATGTGGCTTTTATGACGATTGTCTTTTTGAAGCCTGTGAGGCTATACACCCCGCTGAGCGGTAAACAGCAGCACTTCTTTCTCCACTCCCTTATCTGCCCTATTACCTGACTTTTATTTTTACCAATATGATGGGTGAAGAATCTTTCAGTGTAATTTTAATGTGAATTTTTCTTCCTGTGAGTTTAGCTTATGTTTCTGCTGTTGCACTATTTAGGCACCTGTACTCCAGCCCAGCGGGTGCCGGCTGTTTCAGGCTCTTTCTAAACAGTTCAACTGTCACTAATGCACACTCCACCCCTCTGAAGCGTGAGGCTCTTGGCTCGCTAATCAGATCTGTAGCTTGCAGTTGGAGGGGGATATAGGACGTTGTTGTTCAAAGCATCAAAGTGTTGGTGGCACAGATCATTGAGAACTGATCAGCACTGAACCATGTGCGAAGTGCTCCAGGGGTGTTCTTGGAAGGACTCACCTTGCACGGGGCATGAAATCGAAGGTTCAGATTCTCCTAAGACATTAGCGGCTTGATTTGCAGAGTTCAAGTTGCACCACATTGCTGATGTACATGTGGCAGGTGGCCCGGAAGTTGGTTCTGAGGGTCCTCCCCAAATCTAAATGGCAGATGTTACACCCCTAAGTACAACTTGCACACTAACGTTAGAGCAGTTGAAATATTTGATGTTTCAGCTATGAAATTGGACATAGTGCTGCACCAGGAAAAATCACGGTCAAGGTCTCAGTCCCATGAGACTGCCCCCGCTTCGCCAATGGCAAGTTTCAGGCCTCCCTTGCTTCTGACTGACCACCTAAAAATCGGGGTTGCCCTGTCCTTCTAGTTAAGGTCAATAACTTGCCAGACTGGCTCCTGGCACCCAGGGCAACACCTTTATCTACTGTCACCAGTTCGTTATGAAGGACCTGTGAACAGCCAGATGAAGAGGTGCATTGCTCCAGGCCTGGTGGGCGGGGGCGGGTTGCAAGTGCTTCTGTCTCGGGGGAGTGGGAATGCTGCCCTCCCAGAATGTCAAGGTTTTCCCCAAGCTGCAAGCTCTCCAAACCCCACACTCTCCAACCCCACCATTTAGGGTTTTCTAGAGGTGTCACTGTAGACATGGTTGATGACATCTTTGGCTATTGGGGATTGACTCATCTCCAGTCCTCTCCCTCCAGGTCAGAGGTTGGGTTGGAGACTGACAGCTCCAGCCCTCTAGTGTTGCCTTGGTCTTCCTGAACCCCAGACCCACCCTGAAACTGCCTAGGGGCCCCCAGCTCCCAGGCCTGTCCCGACTACACAAAGGCACTCTGACCCCTCGAAAGATTCCAAGGGTCTTAGACTCCCTATGCCCAGAACCAGCTGAAGACCCAATAGCTACGTCTCCTTGCATGGCAAAATCACAAGCTCTCATCAGCTGACGGTCCGGGGCAGGTGTGCTGAGAGCGCTTCGCTATGGCCCTGTTGCTGGCAATCTGTTTTCAATCCTTGCTGGGCCAACAGGCGCTCTCTGGTTATTCCCCAAGCTGATTGAATTTCTAGTCTTTTCCGTTTGATTCCACTGTTCTGGCCCAGTTCTTCTGAAGCCTCTTTCAACATCGTTGCCTCACCTGGGCGCTGAGATCCTGTGACCCTCCCCCAGCAGGAGATACGGATGCCAGGATCCGGCTACCCTACCTACAGTTGGATTGTGACGAAGCCGGCCCTAAGCCTTCCCTTCCTGGGTCTCTTTAATGCCAGAAATGGGATGTTTTAGAGTTTATTATTTTAATTTCATTTTAGGTCGATACGAGCGACCTACAAATTGGAGTTGGGCAGTTCACTGGCCAGGCACCTGACTCTTCTGGATAAGAAGAGTCTGGGTAAGTCTGGATAAGAAACAGGCCCCAGGCCACAGAAGGGCAGCCCCTGAACCCACAAGGTCGTGACAGAAAACCCCAGCTCCCGCAACTGCCGGAATTCTACAGATTTTCACTTAGAAGAAAATGCCACGCAGGAGTACCCACCCCGATTTTCTCAAAAGTGGTTTTGCAGAGGCTCAGAAGAAAAGTCAGGACACAGGGCGCAAGCCAGCCCCATCTTCCCAAAGTCACTTGCCCCGGGGCCACCCACCTGCAATCAAACTGTTAGAGATGGCTTTTTATTTTCAGCTATTACCAGAGCAAATATTCCTGGAGAAGCATGCATTCGAGTAGGGTGCCTCTTTCCCGAGGTCCTGGAGAGGGAGGCTTCAGCAAGTCACTGGCCAGGGACCCCGGGAACTTCACGGTTCAGGGGCTGGAGGGTAGAGGGGGCAGAACCCTAATGGTGGGTGAGTTGAGAATGGAAGAGCGTTCTTCACCTCAGCGGCTCCTGGGGTCTTTTCCCTTCAGGAACTGAAGAGGTGAGGAGGGCTGTGCAGTCTCAGACAGGTGCTACCTGGGCTTCGAAAGCCGACGCATCTGTCCCCAGAGCTGGGCAGTCGCCAGCCCAACCCACCCTGTAATAACTGAAGTCCTTTGTCCCCACCTAGAGCCAGTCCGGGAGTCGGGTGCACACTGTAATTGACCAACCCATGCCATACAGGAAGTGCTGATGTCACTTTCCTACTTCAACTGCCCCCTCCCCAGAGTATACCTTCGGGACATTGGAAAAAAGACACCCCTTAATGTAGCCCCAAGGCCTCTGCTCTCCATGAACCTCCTGAGGGCGACTGCAGCATGGCGAGCAGGGAGCCATGGGCTTCTTGATAAAAGTGTAAAATGAAGCTCTGTCTGAAAGGACCCCCACCTGTTAGATTTGGAAAACCTCTAAAGGCCGTTTGCTTTTCACAATGAGTAGACTCTTAGGGATGTATTCTAAGGAAAGGCAGAAGATACGGAGAAACAAATTCAACAAGAATATTCTTTGGAGCAAAAGCAAGGGAGGGAAGGATGGAGAGAGGAGAGAGGAAAAGGGGAACAGAGCAACAGGGAGACGGGACAGACACAAGAGAAAGAGTGAGACAGACAGACAGAGGCAGAGAGAGCACCTAGCTCGTTTTCAACTTGACCTCCTGGCAGAATCTAGCAGGATCATAGAATCCTCAGCATACCCTTGTACTGTACTGGGGCAGCCAAGTTTCAAGCCAAAGTTTCCCAAACTACAACGTAACAAATACTAAGACTGGAGAAGCTGTGCACATTCTTTTCCAGCTCCTTTTTGCAGCATCAGCAGAATGGGGCACGTTGTTGCCTTCATTCTAAAAATCAAAACTGCAAGAGGACTCAGCTGCGGAGATGGGGGTGGGAGGGCAGATGTTCTCTTGCTCACTGAGCTCACACCTCGGAGACGGCCAGCGCCTAATGCTGCCTCCACAGGTTCCATGGAGGACACGGTAGAGTCTACGGCCATGTGAAGAGCAGACTCACATTTCTGTGGCTCCCTCCCAGGGGAGCTAAGAGCTGTATCCCACGAGTCCTGCTCGCTCCCGTTGATCCCGATGCCCTAGCCTTCGGCATCTCTGCCAGTCGTCATGAAAGAGCCTGTTGCATCGCAGTCCAACAGGGCCACAATATTCAAAATGAAAATTGTAATGATCACTCTTCTGACTGCAAAATCTCAAGTCAGAGAACTTCTCTCACTAAAGAAGCGGGGCGGGGGGAGCTGGACAGAAAAGCCGCCCTGGCTGTCGGGTGCTAAAACTGTGACACCCCTTGGCACCAGGGAGGAGGGCCTCACGCTCGACCCCAGAGGGAAAAACAAGAAGGGGCCACCGCGGGTCTCCCCCAAGCTTCCAGCTGTCGGGGAATCTTGTCCAATCACCCACCTCGCCATGCCACCTGCTCACCTGCATTCTGTAGAAGTAGTAACGCATCATTCACGTCCCAGCAGGCCAAGTGGGCAGGAAAATGGGGCCAAAAAGAAAACCATGACCGTAGAAAGCAACGGCACGTGACTGAGCTTTCTGGGTTGTGCGCCCTTGTGGTGATAAACACAGTCCTAACTGAGCTGAACACCAGAATGAAAACGAACCTTCCTCCATGCTGAAGTCGGAAGAGATGTGCTTGGCTATCCGCAGTGCCTGCCTGTTTGGGCGGTGATTACTGCAGGTCACACGTGCTGTACAGGAGGAGGGCAGTGAACTCTGGAGCCAGGCTGGCCGGGTGTAAGTCCCAGCTCCATGGCCAGCTCTGTGTTCTGGGACAATTCACCTATGTCCTCTGCCTCTCGATTTCCTCCTCTGTGAAATGGGGGTAATAGTCGCATCTATCTGAAAGGGCTGAGAATTAAACGACCTTGTCAATGTAAGGGGCTGAGAACAGTATCTATTCTTGGTGAGCAGAAGGATGACCAGGAGGTGACCAGCAGAATACCCCTTTCAAAGCCTCAATACTCTTCCATAGTGAGCAAAGACATAGCTCCTCTACGGACGAAGCCATTAATAGTCGATCCTGGCAGGCAGAGTGCAGATTCCTTCGAATCAGAAATTTGAACTCTGGCCAACGACTGCTGTACTGATTGAGTAAATGTTAGGATTTGTTAATGGTAAAGTAGTCTACAAAAACAGTCTGAAGGAGTTTGAGAGGGTGTGGGCTCAGCTGCAACCTCTCCTCCCAAGGCCGTTGGTCAACATCTCCAGCCTTGTGGAAAGACAGAAGCAGTGAAGAAAATGTCGGACAAACATTTGGTGTGTTTGTACACTTCTCCCAGAAATCCTAAATGCTTTGCATGTTTCAGCTAATAAGTCATTAAAATGGATTATGCTGACCATTTTATAACCTACTTCACTGCTCTCCTAAATCCATCCCTTTGTGACACATTTTTACACTTGGCTCATTTTTTCAATTGTGTTTGCTGTCTTACTCCCACGTAAAGGATAAACGTACATGTTAATGTTGATTTGACTGAGACAGCTAATGCTAAATCTGTCTCTGTTCCTTGAATGTTGACTTGTGATGGTGTATTTAAGTCTCTTTTTCCCCTTGAGTCAGCAAAATATTCCATGTTACTTTGAGCAAAACTTGCTCGCTAGTGTTATGGAGGATATAAAAGCAAATGGAATAAGTTTCCTGCCTTCAGGAGGATTGAAATCTCAAAGTCGGTATGACAGCATGGATGGGAGTCAGCTCAGTTTGCAGCTTTTAAAACATGTTGGAATCTTTCCTCTGCAACTTTTGATGGTGAGACCCTGAGCAAATCATTTCCACAAGCATCAGGCTCTCCATCTATGACATGGAAGTAAAAAGAGTAATCTTGACAAAATTGTGATGACTATAGACGTGTACCTATCCTCTTATTTACCTCCTCCCGATAGAAGATATTGTAACTCATCCCATTTGAGAGCTGGTGGTGATCACCCCCATCTTGTGCGATTCAAATATAATTATCTGGAATCCCCCATCTTCGGATGATGAAGACCCAGCAGCCCTCAGTGTTTTCTAGAAACTGGATTTTGTTTGAAGGGTGAACTGACTCCAAGTTTCTTCTATTTTCACCTATTGTCCTTCCTACGTGTCTCCTGGGGTTTTTCCCTTCCTCCCAATCTACATTAACCTGATGATAACAGCCAGCTATGTTTTTTACAATTCCCCTAAATTGACTCATGCCAAATACTGAATACAGTAGATTGGGAGGGTTCATTAAATCACGATAGAGCAACCTACAGAAGGATAGACACCTTTTTTCTTAAAGGGACTTCAGCCATCCCACCCTGGAGAAGGTTGCTGATTGCCTCTTCTCCTCACGCAGTCTTGTTACTATGCATTTTTTTTTTTTTTTTTTTTGAGATGAAGTCTGTCACTCAGGCTGGAGTGCAGTGTCATGATCTTGGCTCACTGCAAGCTCCATCTCCCAGGTTCAAGTGATTCTCCTGTCTCAGCCTCCTGAGTAGCTGGACTACAGGTCCGTGCCACCACACCCAGCTAATTTTTGTATTTTTGGTAGAGACAGTTTCACAATATTGGTCAGACTGGTCTTGAACTCTTGACCTCGTGATCCATCCACGTTGGCTTCCGAAAGTGCTGGGATTACAGGCTTGAATCACCGCATCCGGCCTGCATCACTTTTTATGCCTCGTCTTCATCCTTATAGCTTCTCCTTCCTAGTGGCCTCAACTCCCAACCCCGGAGTAAGGGTCACAACTGTCCATCTTCATGCAACACAGCTTAGTTCCCCTTCTTCTCCTCCCCACCATGCCCTATGGGTTTCTTTTCTACAACCAGAATGGAGACCCAGAGAGATCTGCTAAACTAAGACAGTTCTCACCCCTGGGAGAAAAATCTACTTCCCAGTTCTCAGTCCCGCTAAACTATTGTTAAGATAAAGGACCATGATAAATCCTATTGGCTAACAGAAGAACGTTCTCCAGGTTGCCATAGGATAAGAGAGGAGGTGACAGAATCTGCAGCCATTTGGTAGAATATGTGATATGTGAATCATTCTGAGGAATATGTTAAAATTCTGTAGTCACATCTTGGAAAATGGTATTTGCAGCAGAGGGAATAATGTAACAAAAAACCCAGGCAGAAAACAAATGAGTGTGTGTGGAGAACAACAATAATGTGATGTGAATGAAGGATTCGGTGTCATGAGTGAGAAATGGCTGACCGAAAGTAGGGAGATGCAGATAGGAAAATACCACGGGAAGACTGAACATCACATTAAGTGATTTAGGTGATTCTGCCTGCAGTGCAAATATTTTGGGCTCTGAAGTGAAGTCATCAAAAGGTTTACGTCTGTAATGGAGGATTGGTCTAGATAGCCTTTCAGATCCCACTCGGCTTTGAGATCCTTGATTCCGGGTCACACCTGCGGGTCTGGAGGGCAGTTCTGCAGAGTCATGAAGGAAGGATTCCAGGAGGCTGGAACACGAAGGACATTCAGGTGACCACATCAAGAGATCAAGTGGGGTAACAAGAACCTGAACTAAAAGGAATGCAGTGTAAATATGAAGGAGAAAGAGGAAATGGGAAACTGATTAGAAACGATAAGTAGAGAAAAAGGAGAATATGTGATTCCAAGGTTTAGAACAGTATTTGTAAGTTATAGTCCCATAACTTCTTGCATAAACAGTATCTAAGAGTCATTTTAAAAAGAAGAGCAAACCTCCAAGTTCCACTGAAAGACATCAGCATCTCTGTGGAGTGAATTGGGGAAAGAGAATGAAGAGGTCTGTTCAACTTTTAGACACGCAAAATGTGAATTGAATTGCATGAGTGACACCAACAATGTGAAAATATTTAGCAGGAGCTCTTTTTTCTCTTTTTAGCCTATGGTATTTAATCCTTCTATCATCATTATCGTCCTTTCTCTAATTTAATGTCTTTGAACCTTTATTCAAAAATCCACTACGTATATGTAACATGTTTGTGAGATTATTACTAGACCCTCTAGGAGGTTTCATTAACCCAGTTTTCTCTTACTATACCAATACCACACTATCTTGATAGTTCAGGTAAGTCCTCCACCTTTTTTTCCAAGTTGTCTTAGCTCTTTGGGGTCCTTTAAATTTCCGGACACATTTTGGAATCCGCTAGTTCATTTCTACTGGAAAAAAAATAAAAATAAAATGATGCTGGGATTTTGATTGGAATTGCATTAAACCTCTGATCCACAAGAGCAGAACTCACATCTTAACAATATTGAGCCTGCTGATCCATGAACACAGTATATCACTTCATTTATTTCTTTATCTCAGCATCACTGCCTGCTTTTCAGTGTATAGATCTTACACATCTTTTGTCAGATTTAGTCTTAATATTGCTTTGTAAATTTCCATTTCCAATTATTTCTTTGCCAGTGTATAAAGAGATAAATATTGCTTGTGTGTTTAGCTTGTATCTTGCAAACTTTCCAAACTCACTTATTAGGAAGTAATTTATTATTATCAGTTTTAGTGGCTTTTTGTGATTTCAGGAGATTTTCCACACAGGTGATCACATCACCTGAAGGTACAGATAGTTTTAAATCTTATTTTCTAATAAGCGTGCATTTTATATATTTCAACTTGCCTTATTGCACTGACTAGACTCCAAAAAAAATGCTGAAAAGCAGTGAGAAAAAAATCAGGTGGGATGGTGAATACAGCCCTTGTTCTTCCATTTTGACCTGAAGCACCCAGTGTGATCATTTTCTCATTTGATTTTTGTGAGGACTTTTTGTTTCCTTTTTTTCCTTTGTTTTTTAAAAATACACTTTATCTTTTAGGCAGTTTCACGTTCACAGAAAAATTGAGGGAAAGGTGCAGAGAGACCTTCTATATGCCTTCCCTTCCCCCACGTGCACAGCCTCCCCAACTAACAACACTCCTGCCCAGAAGGAGCATTTGTAATAATTGAAGAACCTACGTTGACATATTGTCACCCAGAGTCCACAGTTTACATGAGGGCTCCGTCTTGGTGCTTGTTCTATGGGTTTGAACAAATATGTCATGACATGTATCCACCATGATAGCATCGTACAGAGCAGTTGCACTAAAATCCTAAAAATCTCCGTGTTTCACCTCCTCATCTCTCCCTCTTCCCAACACCTGGGAAGCACGGACATTTTCACTCCATAGTCTGGCCTTTTTCGGGATGTCCTTTAGTTGGAAGCTTACAGTATTTAGTCTTTTCCGAGGGGCCTCTTTTGTGTAGCCGTGCATGTTTAAAGTTCCTACGTGTCTTTTCATGGCTTGACAGCTCACTTCCCTTCAGTGCTAAAGAATATTCCATTGTTTGGATATATCACAGGTTATTTATCCACTCACCTAGTGAAGAACATTTTGGTTTCTTCGTTGCCTCCAAGTTTGAGCAATTATGAATAAAGCTGGAATAAAATTAGCAATTATGATTAAAGCTTCTATAAATGTCCATGTGCAGGTTTTTCTGTGAACACAAGTTTTCAACTCTTTTGGATAAATACCGAAGAGTGCAATTGCTGGATCACATGTTAAGAGGATATCTCATGCCCATGAATGATACAGTGGGTATACAAAATGTGGCACGTATATACCACGGAATACTATGCAACCATAAAAACGAATGGGTTCCTGTCCTTTGCAGGGACATGGATGAAGCTGGAAGCCATCATTCTCAGCAAACTAAAAGAGGAACAGAAAACCAAACAACCGCATGTTCTCACTCATAAGTGGGAGCTGAACAATGAGATCACATGGACACAGGGAAGGGAACGACACACACGGAGGCCTGTTGGGGGGTGGGGACAAGAGGAGGGAGAGCATTAGGACAAATACTTCATGCAAGCAGGGCTTAAACCGTAAATGATGGGTTGACAGGTGCAGCAAACCACCATGGCACATGTATCCAAGAACTTAAAATTTAAAAATAAAAAAGAGTAGAGTTGGGTAAGACAATGTGATAATTTTACAAACACTAAACACTTCATACCCACTTCCCCACCTCCCTCAAGTACTTTCAACAGCATGCCATTGCTGTTATTAAGGGAATAAAGCATCTACCATCATCTCCCAGCCCCTGCCTGCCTGCCTTCATTCTTGTCTTGTGCCACTTTCTCCCGTGCTTACTTCCTTGCACGTGCCTGTTTCCTGCTGCAAGAGGCATTCTGCACGCACCCCCATCTCTGTTTAGACCGTGGTGTCCCTACACTCCACCCCCCTCAACAATCAACCTCTACTTCTCTCCAGACTGCAAGGGGATCATACCTTCCAGAATGCATCGGTTTTCTACCTCTTATCCCAAGATACACCAGGTTCTTTTACAGCATAAATTTAGAGAATCCCGCTTCCCTTTCTTTGGTGCGCTTTCCTCAATTCTTCATCAGAAACCCATTAGAGTGATTGTCATATTAGTGTCCATTCTCCCCATCAGGCCGCAGGTTCGTGAGAGCAGGGGCCACGGTCATGTTGGTGAACCATGGTATTTCTCAGTGACTATCCATGTGCTTACAAAGTATTTGCTGAATGAGTCAATGTGTCTGCAGTTCCAACCAAAGCTAGAAGCTTGACTTTGGAAGAATGAAAGTAGATAGCATCTCCAAAGCAGACCCTATAGCATGAGAAAAGAAGGGAAGAACGGAGGCAGAGCTGAAGGATGAATATCGGCACAGGAGTAGGTGAGAGTTCCAGAAATGCTGGGTTTTCACGTGTTTTTATTTACTTCATATCTGTGTTTCTGTCCCTGTGTAGTGTGACTCTCATATCCCTCTCAATTACTACATTTCTTTACTGACAACGACAGAGGTGATGCATTGGACACACTACTAACCAGCATACTCTCTCGGACTTGCAAGAAAATGTAGGAAAACAATTTAGAAATGGTATCTCAGAAAAAAAAAAAATGAGAGTAAATGTGGGAAAAAAAATCAATGTTTAAAGACAACTTCCCAACATATTTAGGAATCTCTGGGACCTAAAATTTCATCAGGACTCCCCACACTTCTTTCTTTTTACATTGCTGTGTCTGCGTGTGTGTGTGTATGTGTGTGTGTATGTGTGTGTGTGTGTGTGTGTATTCAACAGAAATCTACAAAAAAAAATGCTATTGCTAGAATAATGCTACTACAGGGGAGAAAAATGTAATCTTTTCTTCCACCCATCTTAGCTTCATTGGCTGGGGTTCCTATAACAAAACCAGATGAACCCCAAAAAAAGCAAACGGAGGCTTATTAGCATGTATATTTCATATATACATGGGAGATACACTGGGAATGAGGGAATCTCAAAGAGACAGCTCAGAGCTTTCTTTTATATAACATCTTCAACAAGGATAATAAATGTTTATAGAAGTGCCAAGACTAAGTAAAAGGACTTTGGGTCATTGGGGGGCAACAAATTGTGGGAAGGCCAATAAATGATAGATTTTTGTGTAAATTCCTCTGGTGCTGTTTCCCGAATGATAAGGGTCTGAAGTTGTCTGCAGAGATTGACCTGCGTCCTTTCTGGCAGAGAGGGGAGAAAGGGCACTTTTGTCTTTGTATAATATGATTATGTTGTGTGCTTTTCAGAAACTAGAGGGAAGGCCAGAGCACTTCTTAATTACCTTCAGCTCAAAATATTTTAGCATAGAGTGTTTTTTTCTCTGCACTATTCCTGCTGCAGATATCTTTAAAGGCATCAGTCGCATCCTAAACACTACTTGTGGGGAAATACTGAGCAGAATGAGATCAAATGTATAATTCAGCCCCACAGAGTCTCTGAGCCACAGGACAGAGAACGCCCTGGGAGTCAAAGCAGACACTGAGCAGCTGACACTCTAAGACGCTCCTTCCAGTAGATCGGCGCATAAACTCAAGTTCTTTTCACAGATTTGTCTGTGTTTCTTTTGTGCAAAAAAAAAAAAAAAAATATATATATATATATATATCCCTGTAGCTAAAATGCCTACTTCATAGTGCAAGAAAAACAACATCTGGAGCCTTAGCCAGAAGCAGCAAAGACCCAGGCAGCCTGGTGGTGTCCGGCGGGGACAGCCCACGAGATCCATCAGCATGTGGCCCTGCGAGCCGCCACCAGTAACATATGTTTACATGCTCATGAATGTCAGGCTCATTTAGAACAAATTAGCATCCATCAAATTCAAACAGCGAGCAGAGCAGCACATTTTCCTGTGTGTCAGTGGCCCCTGAGATACCAGGGAGAACTTGAATTGCCTGACTCCTTCAACTTCCAAGCATCCCAGAGGGAAAAGGCAGACCCCAGGAAAGGACTGTGCTGGAAACTATTTGTTCTTACAGATGTCCGGAGTAGTCTTGTGACTGACCCAAAGACTCCCCTCTGAGGGTGGGGGATACCTAGGGTAGGGGAAGGTGAATGTGCTGCCTTCTAAGACCTTCCTTCTAAGGGAGGGTGGGGTAAACCCAGAGTAGGTGGAGGTAAGCCATGCTGGCAGGAGCTTCCCTCTAAGGGAGGGTGGGGGAGACCAGGGTAGGTGGAGGTGAGCCGTGCGGGCAGGATCTTTCTTCTAAGGGAGGACGAAGTGTGCTTTGCTAGACTCTACGCTTGAGTCTCAGCTTGGCCGACCCAGATGGGAGCAAGTCACTTCTATCCTATGATTCTGGGTGTCCTCATCTGTCATGGAAGCTTTGGTTCGATGAGCTTATAAAGTCACTCCAGTTGCAAAGCTGTGTGACTTGTAGATACATGCCAGTGTGAATGACTCACTTCACTTTAACAAGTTGCACAGATAGCCAGGCTTCTCCTTAGATCAGTCAGGAGGCCCCAGAAGACTTTGTCACAGGCAAAGGGGTGATTAAAAGGAGTCACTGACAGGATTCTTTGGAGTTCGGTGGGCAGGGCCCAAGGGAAGTGAGAATAGCACTCCCCAGATCATGGGCAAGGGATGCCTGGGGAGGGGCTGCTAACGTGGACAGGCATGACTAAGAGAGGAGGGAGGACAGCTCCTCTCCCTCCTCCACCTTCTACCTGCTGCCAGCAATGAATCCAACCAGCAGCCCTAGGCCAGGCCTCCAGAATCAGAGCCAAGAAGAAGCCAGGCACATGGTGAAGCCACTAGTCCCCATCAACACCAAGGGTGCAGTAAGAATTTTGATGGAAATATTTAAAAACTCATTCAACAACTTCCTATCTCCCCAACCAGCCTCTGCATATGATTCCACCTTTTCCAACTACTGAGCGGTCATCAGGGGTTTCACAGGGGTGGGGCTGCCTGCTCTGCCCAGGGGCCCGAGACCCTCCAAACTTCGAAGGCCTGGGGTCCCCTCTCCCCTCCCTGGTGGCAACTGTCTTCTCTGCTGTCAAATTATCACTTCCATCCTCCCACAACACATGAGAATTTAAGACGGGATTTTGGTGGGGACACAGCTAAACCATATCAAAGGGGGGACATGGGGCTCCCTCATGGGGCTCTGGCATGATCTTGGGTGACACAGGTTCATAAGACCCCATCTGCTTCAAGTTTAGTTGCATACCCCAAGATTCCCAGGTTGTAGTCCTAACCCAGGACCTCAGAATGCGTCTGTATGTGGAGATAGGCCTTTTAAAGAGGTGATTAAGGTAACAAAGTCATTAGGATTGATGACCTTGTAAGAAGAGATCAGGACACAGACATCTATAGAGTGACAACCGCACGAGGACACAAGAGAAGATGCCATCTGAAAGTCAAGGAGAAAGGCCTTAGGAGGAGCCAGCCCTGAACTCACCTTGACCTTAGACCTCCAGACTCCAGAACTGTGGGAAATACATCTCTGTTTTTTCACAAAACTGCCTGTGGCAGCCCAACCAGAACCGTGCGCCATCTTTGGTTCTCAGAAATTCCACTTGTTTTTATGCTGCTGGATTTTAGGAGGCCCCTGGATGACCAGTATGTGACTACAGTTAGAGAAGGAATTACTGGTGTAAGAGAGCCCCACACATCTCTGAGCGGACACCGTACAGCCCATGAGATATTGGGTGTAGTATCACCCTCTCTTCCCTAGGATATTAAGAACAATATCACAGGAGGGGTGTACAGCCACAGCCCCTGCGTTACTGGGAGCAATAGCATCTTCTCCCCCTCTCGATATAAGAAACAATATCCCAGAGTGGGTGTACATCCCCTGGGATATTGGGCGTAATGTCATCGTCTCCCAATGCGGATATTGAGCATAGTGTCACAGGGGGTTGTATACCTTCTTTGCTATCGGGAATAATATCCTCTCCCCTCAGGATTGTAGGCAAAATATCGAAGGGATTTTACAACTCGTGTGATATGGGCAGTAATATCATCCTCTCCCTACCTAGATGTTAGGAACTCTATCACAGGCAGCCGTACACTTCTTGTGATATTGGGAGTCATATCATCCTCTCCCATCATGGATATTAAGAACAATATTACAAAGGAGGTGTACACCCCCTGTCATATTGTGAGTAATATGCTCTCCCCCTTCAGGATATTAGGAACAATGTCGCAGGAGGTGTGTACAACCCCTGCGATATTGGGAGTAATATCATCCTCTCCCCCTGCATATAGGAAACAATATCACAGGAGGATGTACACCCCCTGCTATATTGGGAGTTGTATCATCCTCTCCCACCCAGGATATAAGGAACAAGACGACCGAACGGATGCACACCCACTGCCATAGTTTCAATAATGACATCCTCTACCCCCTGGCTGTAAGGAATAACATCATA